CAACAAAACCTTAAATCTAAGACTGAAACTCTGAAACTACTGGAAGACAATATTAAGAAAACACTCCAGGAAGTTGGTCTGGGCAAAGGTTTCTTAAGGAAGACCTCAAAAACATAGGCAACCAAAGCAAAACTGGACAAATGAGATCACATCAAGCTAAAAGACTGCACAGCAAAGGAAACAACAAAGTGAAGAAACAATCCATGTATGACAAAATACATGGATTTCACAGAATGTGTGAAAATATTTGCAAACTACCCATCTGTCAAGGGATTAATAACCAGAATAAATAAGGAGCTCAAACAACTCAATTGGTAAAGTCAACCTGATTTTAAAATAGACAAAAGATCTGAATAGATATTTTTCAAAAGAAGACATACAAATGGCCAACAAGTATATGAAAAATACTCAACATCACTAATCATCAGAGCAATGCAAATCAAAACTACAATCTATCATACCCCAGTTAAAATGCCTTCTATTAAAAAGGCAATAATAGATGCTGGTGAGGATGTAGAGAAAGGGGGACACTCATACATTGTTGGTGGGAATGCAAGTTAGTACAGCCACTATGGAGAACAGTGTAGAAGTTTCTCAGAAAACTAAAAATAGAACTACCATATGATCCAGCAATCCCACTGCCCCATGTATACCCCAAAGAAAGGAAATCGGTGTATCAGAGGTATCTGCACTCCCATGTTTATTGCAGCACTATTCAAAACAACCAACCTAGGATTCAACCGAAGTGTCAATTGGTGCATGAATGGATAAAGAAAATTTGGTAGATATACATAATGAAATATTACTCAGCCATAAAAAAAGATGAAATTCTGTCATTTGCAGCAAAATGGATGGAACTGGAGGACATTATGTTAAGTGAAATAAGCCAGGCACAGAAAATATCACATTTGGGATATCAAATGTGGGAGCTCAAAATATTTTTAAAAAGAAAGGAAAAATTGAACTAACAGAGATAGAGAGCAGAATGATGGTTACTACAGGCTTTGAAGAGTAGTAGGGAGTGAGAGATGAAGAGGGGAAGGTTATTGGGTATAAAAATATAGGTGAATAGTGGGAATAAGACCTAATGTTTGGTAGCACAATAGGTTGACTATAGTTAACAATATTTATTTTCTATTTTTTAAAAACTAAAAGAATGGAACTGTCATGTTCCTAACACAAAGAAATCCTAAATTCTTGAGGTGATGGGTATGCTAATAATCCTGATTTGATCATTAACTTTGTATGCTTATATGAAAATTTTACATGTACCCCATACATATGTACAATTATTATGTATCCATAATAATTAAAAATAAATTTTAAAAAATTGTCCTCTAGGCCAGGAACAGTGGCTAATGCCTGTAACCCCAGCACTTTGGGAGGCCGAGGCAGGTAAATCACGAGGTCAGGAGATCTTGACCAACCTGATCAACATTGTGAAACCCCATCTCTACTAAAAATACAAAAATTAGCCAGGCATGGTGGACCACACCTGTAATCCCAGCTACTCAGGAATCTGAGGCAGGAGAATCACTTGAACCTGGGAAATGGAGGAGGCAGTGAGCCGAGATCACATCACTGCACTCCAGCATGGGTGACAGAGCAAGACTCCATCTAAAAAAAAAAATTTGTCGTCCAATCTACTTGGAACTTTTGTGTACATGGAATGAGATATCTCATTTTATATACATTTTGTTTTTATTTTTCTATTCTTACTTTTATTGATGAGTATGTATCCTTATAATAAATTATTCTAAATTTTTTTAAAAACTCAAATTGGATAAGAAAATCCCCACCTCGCTTGTACAATAGTTTCAGTCAGTTTCTCTGATTTTGCCTATTGTTTGGACTTTTCAAACTCTTATATGGCTGCTGTTGGGGTTGAGCTGAGATCACAATTGAGCCCGTTTCAACATGTGAACAAACTGAGGCTGTTGCATATGGCATGCAGGTTAGGAGGAGAAGGAATAAAAGATATTATGTGTAGACATTTAATCCTAATCTGTGTGGTGTGCTTCTGTCTGCAAAGCACTTTCACGGACATCTTACTCAATTCTCACAACAACCAGTGTGTTCTGATGATGAAACCAAGGTTCAGAGACATTTTGTGCTTATCCGAGTTTTGTCAGCAAGACTGCTTAGACTACAGTTTGGGTTTTTACTCCCACTTAACCTGTAACTGATTTTCCTGCCTTTCCTTTTGTTTTCTTTTCCATAACATTTTCTCTGAGCGTTAGGTATTTGAAGGATGACTTTTTGAGACCTGAAGAGGTGACCTGGTGTTAACTTGGAATGATATGCTGTGCTTTGGGCTGAGATAGTAGGTGGCTACAAGTTTTCCATGGTCCACACCCTATTAATATACCCCCAAACATTTTAGTGACTTACTCAGGAGAGAAGGAATTTTTAATATATCAATGAATACATGCCTTGTTACTGTTTTCTTTTTTGCTCATTTGTGGCTTGATTACTAAACTTACTGCTTTCTTTTAAAGCAGTTGCCCAGATGAAATTATCTTGGTGTTTGTACTTCCTTCATTTCTCTTCTGTGACTTTTACGGGCAATCTGAGAAACAAAGGACCCATTCTTTCTTCCATGGCACACTGCATCATTTATGATCATGAGACAGGAAAAAGATGAAGATTTTTTTCCTTCTCTCAAATATCCATGGTGTTGTCTGAGTTCTCTAGGCTGAATTAAATGGGAAAAAACTGAAATCATTTTAGGTTTTACAGAAAGTATGTAACTTTCTCTAGATTCTAGACCAGAGGTCAGCAAACTTTTTCCCTAAAAGCCCAGATAATAACTATTTTAGATATTGTAGGCCATATGGTCTCTGTAGTAACCAATGAACTCTGTCATATTTCAAAAGCAGCTATGGATGATATGTAAACGAATGGGCATGGCGTTTTTCAGTAAAACTTTATTTACAAAAATGAAAACCAGCAAATTTGGCTCCCACACTATAGTTTGCTAACTCCCATTTTTGTTTATTTAAGTTTTGTCTATCAGGAAATCTAAGTCTTTGGCTAAATGATTTCTTACCAATCATATGTTTCAGAGACTCTATCACCAAAGGTTCTAATGGGTTTTCTCTGCAAATATAAAGTATGATATTTACAAAACTGATGACTACCCACTACATTCTAAGCTCCTTCAGCATCAGAAAGGATGCCCAGTATTACTGGGTCACCTATTAATCTTTTTCCTTCCCAGATTAGAGTTTCTACAAGCTGTAGCCTGCCTTGGTCCCTGAACTTTTCCTGTATTTTTAAACATCTTCACAATTATAGAAGGTATCCAGATTCATAAACTCTTCAATCAGCATTTGATTCCACTGTGACCATCTGAACCACAGAACTGAAAAGTATCTTTACTTCTATTAGTTAATTCCTTTGGAGAACAAAAATAGTTGAAAATAATATCTATTTTTTGCAGTCTTTTAGTTTTCCCTTGGGCAGTCTGAGACTCACAAGGCCTTTTGGTATTAAAGGTTCTGGGGTGGGGGGCAACATAGGAGGCATTATAAATTTTGCATGTAAGATTTTTCCATGAAAGAAAAGTTTCCTAATAGTCTTAACAAACATTCTGGAGAAGATTATTTTTATTTTTTATTTTCTTTTTTTTTCCTTTTTATTTATTTATTTTTAAAAACGGGGTTTCACCATGTGAACGGGGCTGGTCTTGAACTCCCGACCTCAGGTGATCCGCCTGCCTTGGCCTGGAAAGTGCTTGAATTACAGGTGTGAGCCACCACACCTGGCCTGGAAGATTATTTTTAAATGTGTGTTGTGTTTGCTGAAAAATATGTAGGGATACATTTTTTATATGAGAGATGCTTATTCTAAGAAGCTATAGAAGTATTTTCCCACTGCCACCTTTACTTATAATTTCTAAATTAGCGTTTTTATGATACAAAAGTAACACATTTTCATAGAAGAAAATTTGGGAAATTTAGAAAAGCACAAGCAAGAAAAGTAAAATGATGTAACAGCTTAGAGATAAGTATTGCTAACATGTTCATGACCATCCTTTTGCCATCTTTCTATGCATGTCTGTACATGCAGATCAGATATAAAATTTTCACATGCATGAGATGAAATACAGAACATTCTGTAGCCTGCCTTTTCACTGAAGTATGCAGAATGGGTAAACTTCTGTATCAGTACATGCGGATCAGCACTAATTTTCATGGCTACGTGGCATCCCACAGCGTGGATGTACTTCCTGTAACCTGCTTGCATTGTCTCCTATTGGGGCATTGTAAGTGCTTTTGGACTTTTGCACCATTAGAGAGAATGCTAAGGTAAACGTTCTTCTATATATATATCTTCTTGCACTGCCAGAGTATCTCTTCAAGATAAATTCCTAGAATTGGAATTAGCAAAATTGTATGTGTACGTGTGTGTGTGTGTGTATGTGTACATATATGTTTATGATTCTGATATAGAAAAGTTTATACCCAAACTATATTCTCCTCAATGGTTAATGAGAGGGCGTCACATCCTCCCCAATACTGGGAAATTTCTAAGATTTCTCAACAGATCAGTTATCAGCATCTCAGCATCCTTTCCTTGATGGTTGCTATTGTTGTTTTGTGAAGTATTTTACAGTTTTTAAACCAATACCTACCTATGTATTGCACTTACTATGTGTCAGAGATTATTCTAGGTATTTTATGAATATCAATTAATTTAATATTCATAATAACCCAGTGAAGTGTGAGCACTGTTATCCTTAATTCACAAATGAGGAAATGAGTGACTTGAAGGTCATACATGTAGTCAGTGGTGAAGCCAGGACTCCACCCTTCCAGGTGATTCCAGACCCCATCTTCTTAACCACCATGCCCTGCTGCCTCTCAGAGGAAAAGCTCTGTTAGCAAGGAAATGAACCTGGACACCAGGAATCAGAGAGTCACATCCTAACTACCAGCTCACCTTTATTTCCTTATTTTCTATTTAAATGATTAAAATAATTCTTTTGCTTTTTTTAGGATGTATCAAGGTCAGAAGAAATCAAAAGAAGCTTTGCCCCACTATCAAGCAGCTTTGGAATATGTTGAGATCAGTAAGGGTGAAAAAAGTCTTGAGTGTGTACCAGTATTGAGAGAATTAGCAGGGGTAGAGCAAGCCCTGGGACTCCATGATGCATCCATCAACCACTTCCTCCAGGTAAGCTACAAGGTCCTGGCTACCAAAGCTGTTCTAGACCCAGTGCTTTCCATAGACACAAGTGGCACAGCAGCTCTGAAAGTGCGTGGCTTTGTCATTTGCTCTAGATAAAGACAACACTTGGCCTAGAGTAGATGCTTAACAAAGGTGCTCTATCAGATGGCCACGTGGGCAAGTGCTGGTACTGGTCCCCTATTAGCCATTGCACAGACTACAAACAGCCTGAGATACCCTAAAGGGGATTTCTTTATCCTTTAATATTTCTTTAGAGCTTATGTTACCAAACTGATAAGGACTCTTTTTTTTCTACATTCTAAAATCTTCACCTGAAGCCACTTAGAGTTATGTCTGTTAGCTGCTAGTCTACTTTATCTTTGCAAGATTCTTCAGTGAATGTGTCAGGGTTCTCCAGAGAAACAGCACTAACAGGATATGTACACACACACACACACACACACACACACACACACACACAGAGAGAGAGAGAGAGAGAGAGAGAGATTGTGTTTGTTTGTTTTTCATTGTTTTTAGAGAGACAGGGTTTTATCATGTTGACCAGACTGATTTCAAACTCCTGGGTTCAAGTGATCCTCCTGCCTCAGCCTCCCAAAGTGCTGGGATTATAGGCTTGAGCCACCAGATCCGGCCTCTTTTAAGGAATTGACCCATGCGATTTAGGGGCTGGTAAGTCTGAAATCTACAGGGTGGACATCAGGCTGGAAACTCAGGCAGGATTTCTATGCTACAGTCTCAAAGCAGAATTTCTTCTAGAAACCTCAGTTTTTCACTCCTCAGTTGATCAGATGAGGGCCACCAATATTATTATTGAGAGTCATCTCCTTTAAAATCAATTGATTGCAAATATTAATCACATCTACAAAATACTGTGTATTCACTGTAAATTAATCTTAGTGAGTTTATCTCTTTATATTGTATCATGCTAAAGGCACTTTTTAAAAAGCTTTTCTGATAATTCTTTCCTGTAAAAGTTGTAAGATTCGGACCAATCCATTCTTGTTATTTGAAATGAGATACAGTGACAAGGTCCCGAGAGTACTTCATCACTATTTCTTACTTTAACTTGTCTGACAATTTATACTCCTACTCGTGGTTTGTTAGAGTGCCCCTTTCTCTCACTTTATCTGGATTGTCTCTTTCAAGCATTATTACCACCCCAAGACACATTATTATTTCCCATTTATAGATAAGGAAGCCAAGAATTTGAGAGGTTGGATGATTTGCCCAGGATTACACACCCAGTAAATGGCATGTTCGCATTCAAAACCAGTACCTTTTAGAAAGATTGTTCTGGCTGATATGTAGAGAATGGATTGGGGAGGTTGTGCCAACCATAGAAGTAAACCAGTTAGGAAGCTGTTGAGGTAGCCAAAGCCGAGAATGATGGTAGCTCGAACTAGGATGAAGATAGTGGGGATGAAGAGAAAGAGATGGATGTAGGAAAGATTTAGGAGGCAGAACTGATAGGACATGGAGATTGATTGGATGTGGGGGAAAGAAGAAAGTCATAGATGACTCCCAGGTTTCTGGTCTGGACCACTGAGTAGATGTTTGTGCCGTTTCTACCAGGGAACTGGCATGTGACTGGGTGATGGAGAGATGGCAAGCTCTGCTTTAGATGATGAGTCTGAGATGCCTGTGAGGCATACAAATGGAGATAACAGTAGGCAGTTAGATAATTGGGGCTGGGCTGGGCCCAGTGACTCACACCTATAATCCAAACACTTTGAGAGGCCGAGATAGGCAGATCACCTGAGGTTGAGAGTTCAAGACCAGCCTGACCAACATGGAGAAACCCTGTCTCTACTAAAAATATAAAAAAAATTAGCCAGGCATGATGGCACATGCCTGTAATCCCAGCCACTCAGGAGGCTGAGGCAGGAGAATCCCTTGAACCCAGAAGGCAGAGGTTGTGATGAGCCAAGATTGCGCCACCGCACTCCAGCCTAGGTAACAAGAGAAAAACTGTATCCCAAAAAAAAAGAAAAAGATAATTGGGGCTGGTGTTCAGAATATAGGTCAGAAAGTTGCCCACTTACACATAGTGATTTCCATGGGAGAGGATGAGATCACTGAGGGAGAGCTGATGGAGGGAGAAAAGAACTGATGCAGATTCTTGAGGGATTTCAGTATTCATGGTTGAAGTGAAGGATTACCGAGCAGATGAAACAGAGAAAGATTGCCAGGAAAACAAGAGGAAAATCAAAAATGAAAGGGGTATCCTCTCTGTCCCTTCTTTCTTTCTTTCTTTCTTTCTCTCTTTCTTTCTTTCTTTCTTTCTTTCTTTCTTTCTTTCTTTCTTTCTTTCTTTCTTTCTTTCTTTTCTTTCTTTCTTTTTGAGATGGAGTCTCACTCTGTTGTTCAGGCTGGGGTGCACTGGTGTTATCTGGGCTCACTGCAACCTCTGCCTCCCAGGCTCAAGCAATTCTCCTGCCTCAGCCTTCTAGGTAGCTGGGATTACAAACGTGAGCCACCATACCTGGCTAATTTTTGCATTTTTAGTAGAGACAATGTTTTACCATGTTGGCCAGGCTGATCTCAAACTCCTGACCTCAACTGTTCCACCCACCTTGGCCTCCCAAAGTGCTGGGATTATAGGCATGAGCCACTGCACCTGGCCTCCCTCCCTTTTTTGATACCTTTCACTGTTTTGGAGGACATGGGATTCCAGAGAGAATAAATGAGTTTGTAAAGAGCTTAGTATAGTGCCTGATACGTAGTGCTAAATCTGGATGTTTTAAATTTTCTCTTTCCTTTCCTTTTATGTTATTTTTCTTTCATTGATGACTTTGTTGAGGTGAATACTGGGGTGATGATAAGAACAGAAACCAGATTATATAGCAGGTAAGCTGTGAGGAAGCAAAGATAGTAAGTGTAGATGGCAGTTACGAAAAGTACTGAGATGCTTTTGGGGGAAGACAAGCCCAGACAAGAGGGCAGAGTACATGGTAAGGTCTGAAAGTTAGACAAAACTTGACACATTCAGGGAACTGTAAGGAGCTCCCTATGTCTGGGCAGTGGAAATGGCAAAGTCAGGAGATGGGTATTGTTTAGGTGAGTGTTGAAAGTCATATTAAGGAATTTATGCTTCCTCCTAAGTGCAGATGAAGGTTTTTCGGCAGGGAGATTGGCATCATCAGATTATCATTCTGGAAGGAACACTCTCTGGAAGGGATAATGGACTGGATGGAGGTGAGATAAGCAGGAAGATAACTCAGAGGTAATGACTGCAGCAGTACAGGTTGGGGGTGAGACAGCCCATACTCAGGTGGTGCCAGTGAATGGAGAGGCATGGACAGATCTGAGAGATATGTGGGGAATAGACGTGACAGGCCTGGGGATTGTACAAGTCTTGAGGAGGAGTCCAGCTTTACACCAGGTTTCTGACCTCAGTTACTATGTGGCTCATGGCAACATTTACTGAGCATAGGAACCCTGGCGGGTTTACAATTTTTGTTAGTATCAGTAACTGTAAATATTCTCATACAAAAACCTTTTATAGTTCCTTGAATTATTTCTGGGGGTAAATGTCCAGAAATTAAACTGGTAGAAGGAAGTTCATACAGATTCATATTGACACTCTGTCACAGAATTGTTTTTGATGTACTTCACCACCAGCAGTTGATTTTTCTTTGTTCTTAAGTAAAGCAGTTTTATACCAATCATGCCAGCTTTTTATATTAGTTTACTCTCATTTTACAGAATAGAGTCTCAAATTTACTTTAATATTTTTTTTCTTAGCCCATATCCCTCAAACTTCTTTTTTTTTTTTTTGAAATGGAGTCTCTCACTGCCACCCAAGCTAGAATGCAGTGGTGTGATCTCAACTCACTGCAACCTCCACCTCGCAGGGTCAAGCAATTTTCCTGCCTCAGCTTCCCAAGTAGCTGGGATTACAGGCACCCACCACCACACCTGGCTAATGTTTGTATTTTTAGTAGAGATGGGGTTTCACCATGTTGGCCAGGCTGGTCTCAAATTCTTGACCTCAAGCGATCTGACCACCTCAGCCTCCCAAAGTGCTAGGATTATAGGTGTGAGCCACCATGCCCAGCAAAAACCGTAAAACTTTCAAAAGTTCAAAAAAAGATCTCAGGTACCAGTTTCTCAAGTTTATAGAAAGACATCAGTGATTTTTAGTCCAATGATTTTTGTTATGCTGCTGATAAAGATACACCCAAGACTGGGCAATTTACAAAAGAAAGGGGTTTAATCAGACTTACAGTTCCACGTGGCTGGAGAAACCTCCCAATCATGGCAGAAGGCAAGGAGGAACAAGTCATGTCTTACGTGGATGGCAGCAAGTAAAGATATTGGTCAAGGAAACTACCCCTTATGATTCTATTAGATCTCATGAGACTTATTCACTATCACAAGAACAGCATGGGAAAGACCCACTCCCATGATTCAGTTATCTCTGGAACCCTCCCACAACACATGGGAATTATGGGAACTACAAGATAAGATTCGAATAGGGACACAGAGCCAAACCATATCACTCCACCCTGGCCCCTCCAAAATCTCATATCTTCACATTTCAAAACCAATCATGCCTTCCCAACAGTCCCCTAAAGTCTCAGCTCTTTTCAGCATTAACTCAAAAGTCCATGGTCCAAAGTCTTATCAGAGACAAGGCAAGTCCCTTCCACCTATGAGCCTATAAAGTCAAAAGCAAGTTAGTTTCTAGATACAATGTGGGTACAGACATTGGGTAAATACCGCTATTCCAAATGACAAAAATTGGCCAAAACAAAGGGGCTACAAACCCATTCAAGTCAGAAATCCAGCAGGGCAGTCAAATCTTAAAGCTCCAAAATGACTTCATGTCTAACACCCAGGTCACACTGATGCAAGAGGTAAGTTCCCATAGTCTTGGGTAGTTCCACCCCTATGGCTTTGCATTGTACAGCCTCCCTCCCAGCAGCCTTCATGGGCTGACGTTGAGTGTCTGCATCTTTTCTAGGTACACAGTGCAAGCTGTC